AAAAAATGGTATTAATAAAAAAATAAAAGAACCATGAAAACGTTTACCTTTGCTGGATACTTCGTCTTCATCCAGTAGTATAATACATAACAGCTGTAAAGGAGAGATGAAACTACGTTAACTTTAACAACTGCCTGTAAGTTTTCAGCATCATTAGCGGTAATGCTTTTGAACAATAAATGAGCTTCAGATTTGGTCTGTATGTATAAATATGCAAGTCTAAATGAGTTCTTAACGACTAAACAACAACTGTAAACACAGCTGTTTTCACATTACATAAAAGCTATAACACAGTAGTGTTATAGCTTTCAATAGTGTTCAAAGTTTTCCTTCAATGATAATTTATTACTGGTCTAATTTACTTAGGGCTCTCAGTTACCTCTCAGTTACTTTCTTTCTGCGTCTTCTGTATTTGAATATATCAACTCATTCAAGTTCTAATTACAGTAGAGCCTACCGGATTTTTACAGCTAAAGTTTTAAAGTCTAACACACAGTTTGCAGCAATCTTACAATAAAGAATACTTTTCAAAGTGAGTTTTGAAAGAAGGGAGTAACCAAATTCGAAACAAGAAATAACAAACTTTCGAAAAGTATACTTACTTGATCTCCTTTCAGTAACCCGTACTGCAACCACAAATTGCCAGAAATGACACCCATATGAAATGGAGCTGAACTAACGCCATCAGTTGAATTTTGTTTCTGTAAATAAATTCCACTAGTGAGAAAAATAACTCAACGAAATAAACAGCCAAAAAAACTACATCTTTGAACTTTGCACATTATCAACTGGCCGATTTGCGGCTTTGTCCCAAAATTTTGCTCATCAATATAAGTTCTAAAAAATGAAGAACACAGAACTCACACTTATTCTCCAACAAATTTCGACCCCAGTGAGGAATAAACAAATAGTCGATGCAACTGCCACATTAGATAAAATATACAGAAATTGGTTAGATTGTAAGATCGCATTAAGGACAATCATCCGTAACTACAAAAATTGATATATAAACATTTTTGATGCAGAGCAAATAACTGTGAAGAAAATCAGAGCCTCGTAAAA